TTCCTGTGATTACCAGGAGAAAGCTTTGCTAAGTACAGCGGACATTTGAATAATTTCAGTTCAGCTAGTGAGGTGTCATAAAAATATTTTTGCATGTGGATATTGGTACATACAGAATATTTTACCTGCATTTCAGTATTTGCATATTTCACATCTTGTAACGTTTCCTTGTCACAATTTCCAACATTAAGTGCAGTGTTGTCATTCTGTCCAATGTTTTTTTTTGGTTTTTTCTGGTGGTACTAAGGATTGAACTCAGGGCCTTGTACATGCTAGGCAAGCACTCTACCACTGAGCTACATCCTCAGCCCTACTTTTTGACCTAGTTCTAATACTGGATGTTTCCATTTGGTTGCATGATCACTTTTACTAGTCAAATATTTGTACTCACGTTGCTGTTTTCTTCATCATCTGAATCAAGGAAGTCTTCAGTCTTTGTGTCTGTATCGGTCTATTCTTTTTTTTTTTTTTGCAACATGCTGCTATAATTAGAATAACCAGTCCATGGATTACTGAAACAAAGAATTCCAACAGAAAATTTAGAGCTTCCTTAAAACAAAAACAAATTCAAGACTCTGAATTGATGCAAATACTCTACATTTGAGAAAAAATACTCTTCTTGTGCACTTTAACCCACAGCTGAATGTCCTCATGGTTTACAGAGGGATCAGCTCTGGCTCGGTGACTTCAGCTGTGCTCTCAGGGTTTGGATTCAGCCGACTGGAAGGAAAGCTCCCCGGCTGGGAAGGAATGGAGCTCCAAGTTGGGACGACCTGTCAAATGCCAGGGACAATGATACCTGTTTTGGAGAAGCAGACTTACAAATTAGAATTATAGGAATAAAGAGGAAACATTTAAAGTTAAAATACGTGTTCAAAATATGTGGATTACTGCTTCCCGGTGGCTTAAATTTCTATAACAAGGTCCAGTGTGAAAAACTCACTTAATGAAAATTTGGAGAGCTGAGACATGCTTATTCTTGCTGAATACATTTGCAGTATATACCTTTACATTTCAGGGCTACTACTACAGGGCTACTACTACATTGCAGGGGCTTTAGAATTGCTGGTCATTTTTTAAAAAGTGTAACTATGTCTTGTTTCTAAATTTCAGTTATAATACTTGACCAGGAAAAAGTTCATGAACATTGCACTGACTTTCAGGTTTTACATCTCATTCCTGAAAAAAACAAGACAACTCTGAACATTTTTCAAAAGTTCTTTTACAGAAGTTAAGACTTTTTTAAGACAAACTAAACAAGCAATAGCGAAGTTAAAGGGAAAGCCAAAAGACTGCTGCCCACCTGAATGAAGTGGGAGGAAAACTTAAAATGGTCTGCTATGGAGTGCAAGGCAAAGGGACTCAGAGGTTAATGGAGAGGGTGTCTCTCACTAAGTAAACGATGAAATGTGTCTGCCCACTTCAAACTTTTCTTAAATCATGAGTGGGACTCAGTTTAGGTAAATAGTATAATATACCCTTCAGAAAAATATAGTTTATATTTTTCCATCACAAACAAAACATTGGTTATGACGTCCAGCGCCACCAAGCAACCTTCATTCTGTCCCATACAGCAGAAAGCGAATCCAAGGCGGGCGCACATCCAGGATGGTAAACTGGTAGTTCTCGTTCACTTCGCCACCATCGTAGTAATCGATTATCTAACTTCCGTCCCACAGCGGCTGATGATCCAATCATGCATGTCAAAAGGCAACTCATACCCCATCCAGAAACGAATTCTGGCCCTTGGTGAATACTGCTTTGCTTTCCCTCCGAATCGGATCAATGAGGGACCACAAGGACACTCCGCAGCATGAAGGGCTTACCACTTCAAAATCTCCTTCCAGGCCTGCTCGTTATTCTGATTGTGAATCTTTATGATATTATACATATCTTTCTGACTAATATCCTCATCCTTCCACTTCCACCCTTTCCTTAACATGGCATTCCAGAACATCTGTTCTGAAGGGTAGACCCACTTTTTCTCAGAGTCTGCTCTTGGAATGGATGATTCTTCTTTGACCGTAGACAAAGCAAACGGCTGATCTGGGGCTGGTGTTTGATTAGGTAGTGGCATCAGATTTGAAGGATCCAGGTTCTCCTTATCGGCCCTGGCATGGGTAAAGGGGCACTCCACATAGTCGTACGCTCGATCCTGGTGGGCAGGCAGAGAGTAGGTTTTGCTGTCACTAGTTGGACTAGATGGTTCCTCACTTACTGGACAGCCTTGACTCTTCCTTTCATACATTGGGCATCCTGAAGGTGGTGATGCTGTCTGATGATCTGAAGCTTTTGGGGTCTGAACTGCAACAGCAGGAGTAGATGCTGACAAACCCATGGCTGGAATCAAAGTGTTGACTCCAAACAATTTTAAATGTCCAGCACTGCCTTCACCTCACCGGGTCACCGCTGTGTCTATCGGTCTATTCTTGCTCCATTTCACTGTCACAGGAACTTTGGCTCACATATGGCCAAAGTCAAAGACATTATCATCTTCATTATCCATGCATAAATGATCTGATGATTCCCTTCAACCTCTGCCAAAACTTCCAAATCTGGTTTTTTTTTTATCTGCCATTGTATTGAATTGGGCTGCTTTTAACAGAAAAATCAACAGAAAAAAAAAATAAAATAAAAATAAATCCTAAATGCACGGAAATTTAGTACTGAGCATTTCATGGGGAAAACTCACCTGCTGCTGCTTTGACTGTCCTGTATACACTTTGTCATTCATCTGCCCAGTGTGTAAATGCATAGGTGAGTTCTTGCTGTCTCCAGGTATGGCTACAATGAATCACATTCACATTCCATTTATGGTAAAATACATGTTTACAGAACAGAGTGGCCGTAGGTGTATGTTACCTGCTGTGATGCTTACGTAAACATATGTAAAACCTGTTTGAGCATTATGTGGATAAAAATTCCAGTTTGACACTTTTGCACATATGTATAAACCTTGCCATTCATCATACCAACTGAATAAATGTGGTAACTGCTTTTTGTATTCGCTAGTATAGCTACTGAGACACACAGCCAGCTACTGTTATGCTTAAGTACAAATTTACAGTAAAAAAGTATGGGTTGTTGTAACCCAGAGTTATGCTCTGCATTTAAATATTAGTGCATAATCACAAGAACCTCATTAGTTTCCTTATAAACTAACTATGATAGGAGAGTGTAACAAGCTCCTGTTTTGAGAGGCTCCTCTGGGTACTTCACTGAATGTGATCAAGTTCCTTAACATCACTAATTGTGTGCTGCCAAATTCCTTAATGACTTCTAGTAACTTCCTTATCCAGAAACTTAGTGAGTTAGGATAGGTAGTGTGGTTGCTAGAAAGAATAGCAGAGCAGAAATTCAGACATTCTCTGAAGTAGGGTCATCTTTAGTAAGTCACAATTCTGCAGAATCAGTTTCCCTATCTGTAAAATAAAATGAACTAAAAAAATAAAGTTTATTTCATGTCCACTTACTTAGTCTATGCTAAGTAAGTCTAAATTCTAGAAGGAAGCTAAACTATAAGCTTGAACTCAATTCTTAACAATGATCCAAAACTTTATTTTTTGACATCAAAACAACACGCATAAATATGTACCTGTGTGCATGTAATTATTTTTATAGTGGTTCCCAAGAGCATCATTTTGCAAGGACTCTACCTCTTAATGCTTTACCAAAACATTCGATTTGGCCACAGAATTTTTCACTTTCTTTTGTAAAATTTTATCAGATGGCAGAGGAGTTGTAAAGAGATGCCGCTGGAGGGAAGGTTGGCTGGCCACTGCATATTTACGTTATTACCAAAACTGAATTTTTAAAGTTAAAAGGTTTCATATGTCCAAGAAGACATTAGCTTGAGAGGCTTCTCATACTAACCTTGAACTTGAACAAAGATGGTAAAATGGGAAGGAAACAGGGATCTAATTTAAATGCTGGGGTTGGGGTGGAGAATAAAATGGACATACAATTTAGATACAAAGCATACTGCCAGGAAAGAAAAGCTAAGCGGGGACTAGAACACCTGCCGTGCCTTGCCTCAGTAGGTGATTTCAGATCTTGGAATCCTGGGAGGGGGAGGCCTAGATTCTAGTGGCAGGTAGGAAGGCGGGTTGAATGACAAAGCGGATCTTTTTCTGCTTGAGTGGCTTTAACATGTATTTTGCAATTAAATGACTCATTGGGCTCTCTCTCAGGGGGAAAAAAACCCTCCATCAATACATCTAAACGCTGAGATACAACACCTTTAGAAAGAGTTGCATGCAAACTCCTTTTCAAAAAGCGTTTCATTTGAAGGCAAACACGTGAACAGTCACAGCGTCAATCTCTCCGACTCCCACCGAGACCACAGCGGGTCAGAATTACCAAGCACCTAGCGCACTCTGCCTGGGCCCCGCTGTGGCTCCTACTCTCCAGGGCGGGTGCCCGGGGTCCGGGGGCGGAGGGGGGCGTGGAGTCGGTTTTCTTGGAGCACCCAATCAGCGGCGAGTCTCGGCGGTGGCGCCAGTGACGTGGCCGCGCCTCCCTCCGCCCCACTGCGGGCCGACGCTGGGCGCTGTCAGCAGCGCGAGCCGGAGCGCAAGCCGAGAGGGCGGAGGGTCCCGCGGAGCGGGGGAGTGAGCATGCGCAGGCGCTCCTGGGGGGGGGGGCGCAGGGGCCGGGATGAGGAGCGGCGCGCGCGCGCGCACGAGCGGTCCGCCGGCTGCCGCGGGTGGAGGGGGCGGTTCCCGAGTGTCGGCGACCCGAAGAGGGGCAGGCGGGCGGCAGGTGCCGCCTCGGCCGCCGCCCGTAGCCTCCGCCCGCTCCCGCATCCCCTCCGCCTGCGGCGGCGATGAGCCGGACCCGCTCGGGGGCCGCACCTGCTGGCTGCCCATCACCGCGGGCCTCCCGGCGTGACCTCGGCCGCCGCGGCGCGTGTCGGGCCCCCGCGGCGCGGCGCTGGCCCTGAGTGGGAGCGGCGGCCTCCGCGCCCGAGTCCGCGCCCGGCCCCTGCTCTCCCCGGCCGCCGTCCTCAATGTCTCCCCGGCGGGGAGTGGGCTGCCTGGGAGACACGCGGAGCGGCGCCCCCGCCAGGCCCCGCCGCAGCGCCCCGCCCGGCGCCCCCCGAACCTCGCCGCCGCCGCCGCCTGGCGCCCCCCGAGAGGGCGGCGGGCGCCCCCCGGGGAAGATGAAGGCGGAGGGGGGCGACAACTCCATGATCAACCTGTCGGTGCAGCAGGTCCTGAGCCTCTGGGCCCACGGGACGGTGCTGAGGAACCTCACAGGTAACTGATGCGCCAGGCCGGGCCACTCGGGATGCGGAGCCGCCCCACCTCCGTGCGCGCCCGGGTCCGCGGGGAGGGGCTCGGCCCGGCCGGAGCCCCCGAGCCCCAAGACCCCCGCCGCGCCCGCCCGCCCTCGGGCGCTCAGGGCTCGGCCCCGCCTCTGTAGTACGCGCCGGCCGCGTCGGCGGGGACCAGAGCGCTGCTCGCGGGTCTCTTCGCCCTCCTCTTGCACGCGCGCTCACACGCACACACACGCGCCGCTTCCCGCGGGTGTTTAGATCGTTTTCAGGTTTATGTCTTTTTGAAAGGCACATCTCAAATCAAACGCGGAGCAGTTTCCCCACAACGGTCTATAGTATTTACTGAGACTATGTTGTATTTATTCTGAGTCGGAGATGGAGATGACTAAGTAGATTATAATGGGTCAGGGGCTGGGCCAAATACGTGCTTTGGAAGCCTTTAGCGTTGTCTGTCTTCTGTCCTTCCTTTTCCCTTTTGTCTGTCACTCCTTCTGGTCTCAGACATTTGACAGTTTCTGTGACATTTGATAATTTTTTGTTTCCTTTCCATCCTCAGAGCTGGGAATAGGGTCTAATTCAGGATCAAATCAGTTGCTGTTTGTTAGAATGAGCGATCGTACACAGAGTATTTTTTTAAAAAATCTGATCCATAGGTTTGCTTTTCGAGAAGACTTTGGCTTTGTTAATGTGGAAATGTGTACATTCTTGCGTACAGGCTTTTTAAAAAAATAGTCTCTGAAGAGTAGTATGAACAAAAGAGATTCAGTTGTAATTTTTGATGAGCCTTCAGTGACTGCCATTCAGAGAAAAAACTTTAAAAAAATATGTTGTAAATCCTGAAAATGTATAGGGCTGTCCGTTTCAGTGGAACATTAATATTTCAGAGGATAGCGATAGAGTAATTGTGCATACATATTATATATATATATATATATATATATATATATATACATGCATATGTGTGTATATATAAAATCAAAAGGAATACAGAAAAGTCATACTTCCAGAGGAAAAATTTGTGGAATTAAAGACAATTTATTGGCACTAATTTCCTTGAATCTGGAAGCTCCATTTAAGGTAGATTCTGGGTGGCTACATGGTACCCTCACTTTTAAGATGCCCTCATTTAAGTTGGAGCAGGTAGACTTTACTTGGTTGTGGATCAGAAACATGTTTTTATAGTTTTGAAACACTAAACTGTCATAAAGACTTTAATAATTTAGAGATAGATTGCTTCATCTTTTCTTTTTATTTTATTTTTAATTTTTGTTTGCTGTGGGGAATTGAACTCATACTTGCCAAGCAAGCATCTTTTGGCTTTAGCGTGAAATGATAGGTAAGGACTTCCTATGATGTGTTTGTGTGTGCTGCTAATTGGCTAAGGTCATCAGTGGTTATTTAGAGAAAGTTTCTGGAGCTGTAGAGTAAATGTAAAAGTCCCTCTTGGCAAGATTTAAATTTTAAATGTTTATGATTCTTATTGTGGTGGCTTCCAGTTCCACAAGTGAGCCATTAGTTACTAATGGCCAACACCCTGAAGTTAACCTGTGTTATCTCCCACCCATTGTGGTCCTGGTAATTGCCAATTGCGCATCAGGCCTGTCTCTTCCTAGGGGCCATCCTCAAGTAGGGCTGAGGTAGGATGGAGGAAGGGAACCTAGGAAACAACAGGGTCTAAGGAGGCAAGTTGTATGCTTCAGGGTAAAAAAGCAGAAAGTAACAGAAGTAAGCTTTACTAGCAGGTGAGAGGACCCACAGAAGGCAGCACACCACAAAAGCAGCTGTCGTTAAGTGGTAACATTACGAGGTGGTTCCTTGGCATTCAGTATACTGATGACCTTAACAATGCTATATGTAGGTTGATCATTGTTCAAGAGATGCTAGATAGGGTGACATTTAAAACTTACTCTATTAAAGACAAGCAAACACCACTTCTAAAACAAGACAATTACCATTTATTGAGTACCTGCTATGTTTTAACAATTCTACATATATTTTAATATCAAGAATAACTACAAAGTGTATTTACTGGGAAACTCAGATACACTAAACTGCCTTATATCATACAACCAGTAAATGGGTAGCTAGGGTTAGACCCAAGTCTTTGCTTACATAACTCTTCTTTCCCCTTTACTATGCTGCTTTATTTAGCTACTTCCTATTTTAGGCAGAATTCATTTTTTCTTCATCCTCCTACTTCTGCTTCCTGCACATATTTTTATTATGTATCTTTAATTACATTATAATTTTTGTGTCTTCTAGATTGGGAGCTCTCTGAGGGTGGGGCTGTGCTCACACTCATCTTTGAATTGTGAAATCCTAGTGTTACAGTACCTGGCACATAGGAAATATTAAATACATGCTTATCCAGTTGAAATTTTAAAATAATAACTAACATAATTTAAACATCCTGTGTTGCATTGTTTTTCAGCTGTGTCTGTTGAAGTAAATATGCTATTAAAGAAGAATGAATAAGATTAAACAGGCTTTACAGATAATTGTCCTCCCACATGCCTTTAATACACACAAAGGTTTATTGATTATAGGCATATTCTATGCATGGTCCCGTGCTTTCATGTATTAATCTTCAGAGAGATTATTGTTTTTCCTTATTTTATAGGTTCAGACATTGAAGCAAAGAGTAACTTTATTCTCTGTTATAGCTAATTGTGAAAAAGCTGTTACCTTTTTTAAAAATTGTAACACATACTATTAAGTGAAAAGGCATTTTTGTTATCATAGTAATTGCAAGTTAAAGTGGAAAGAAGCATAGTGAAGAATTAGATTGATTGATTTAACAAATGACATGAAGGAGTCACAGAAATCTGGTTAAGTAAGACCAAATACAAGGAAGTAAGCTCTCAATGTTTTTTTTCTTTGTGCAGAGCTGTTGTTCTCTTCCTATTACACAGGAAAAGTGTGAAAATAGATTGACCTTCTTAGAGACTAACCTTTAAAAATGAGTCTTGTGTATTACTTTGACCGAACAAAATTTAAAATTGAATAATGAGAGCTAGAAACAGCCTAACTTTTTCCAGCTACTACTGCTTCACTTTAGAAATAACGCAACATCACTCCATTGGAGAAGTGGGCTGCCTGGGGTCCAGTGCCGAGGCCAGGATGGAGCTGTTTCTCCTGACTCACTTCTCTGCCTTTCCTTTCTGTCCCTGACAGCTTCTCAACCCAGGCTAGTGTGAGAAGTTGGAAAGCTGGGCAGACTGTGGAGCTTTGTGATGGAACACTGGCCTAGCCTGTGTGAAGCCCTGGGTGGATCCCAGCACTTTAAAAGCAGAGATTAGCCTGCCGAGTTCCCCCAGTCACCTTGAGAGTGTGTGAGTGGAACTGCAGAAGTCTCCCCATCCCCGGCTTACTTCTAGGGCACTGACGGCCAACCTTCTAAAGACAAGTTGCCTAACTGCAGCCCAAACCCCACTTAGTTGTCACATAGTGCCAACACTGCAATTAAACCTGAATGCTGAGGTTTTAGTTTAGAAAAAACAACTTATACATTAATATCTTTTGTCTTAAAGTGCTGTAGGTTTACACTGCTGTAAGTCCCTCCGTGGGAGCCTAAAACTTTAGAGCACCAAATCATATTACTGTGTTCTTTTCCTACACATGCATACTTCCGTAGAGGTTAATCTATAAATTAGACCCAGTAAAAGACTAACAATAATAACTAATAATAGAAGCAGTTATAACTATATACTCATAAAATTGCCCACATCACTACTCTTGAGCTTTGGAGCCATTATGAATCGGATCAGGGTTCCGTCCATATCCTCTGTGTGAAACCACAATCCCTGCGGTGACTGAGATGGCTAGTGAGTGACTAACGTATATGGTGCAGACGCTCCAGAGCAGTGATTCACATCCTGGGCAGGGCGGGCGGGATAGTAGAGATGTCATTATGTTTGCAGAGCAGTGAGTGATTTAAAACTTAGAAATGGTTTATTTTTGTGATTTTCCATTAACTATTTTTGGACCACTGCTTTCTTCAGGTAGCTGAAATCACACAAAGGGAAACCTTGAATAGTTCCTCTGTGTATGTGCGTGTGCGTGTGCGTGTGTGTTGGAGGGAGGTGGCTATTGTAATTTGCCTGGCAAGTCAAAGATGGTGAAAAACGTAAGATACTGAAAGGTAATGCTTTCTAAAATTTTAAGTTGCTATTGTCTTTGTAAGTTAATAACCTATTTTAGTATTTATTGTATATTGGTTTAGAAATCCTACGAGCTGAGTCTGTCACTTTGCTCTCCTTTGGATTCTGTGGACAGCATGTTAATCCCTGGAGATTCGGTCTGCGTCACTTAGTACACGTTACCCAGGTTCTCTTAGTAGCTGACCCTTCCTGAAGAGTAGTTCCCAAGATTCTTAAATTGTTCAATTGTGAATAGACCCAATGGATGCTAGTTTACTAGCAGCAAATGGCTCGCTTCCTTTCTCAAGTACTTTTTCTTTCTCTGTGCTCTAGATTTCTACCCCTTAATCTAAAATTAAACTCATATTATGTCTGTTCAATTTTGTGGGTAATTTGAGTTTTAAAAAATCTCCAATCGGATGTATCTTTCTGTATTACTTTTATTTTCATCAACTGATTTGGCTCTCAATTTTGTGCTCTGACCCAAATTTGGTTGCTAAGGATTTAGAGAAGAATTTGTACTTAGAAAAAGGCAAGAGTCCTGAAATCCCTAGATAAACATAGATTCAGGTTGGTGGAGGGAAAGTTACGGGCCCCAGGAGTAAGGCGATAGCTGAACCCGGCTCTTCACTCTCAGCCAAAAATGTAGGGACGAAGAGAGTGCTCCCTTCCTCTGTTAATAATAAATATGAGAAGGCGAGAACTCAAACTGCAGTAAAGAGTGAAAGTAATGCTTATGTTATATATAGACACATGTATGTGTCTGTATACACAGATGCTCCTCAATTTGTTGATGGTTATGTCCTGATAAGCCCAGTGTAAACTGAAAATGCACTTAATA